TTGCCTAGATGTGAATACGCTTTCCTCCTCCTCCTCCTTCTTCTTCTTCAATTGGATGGAGCGTAATGTTTTCTAACTTCTGTTTGTTTGGTCTCTGACCACGTAACTGTTTTGCAAATCTTTTCAGAGATATTTCTGCGGCATTAGTGGTAGTTTTACCTTGAATATAGAAATAATTCTCATTCCTCCTACCCACCCACCCCCAGCTCCCCCTCTCCCCATAACTCAGTTAAAGAATACTTGCTCAGAAGTATTTCCGGGAAAAGGATGCATATTTTTAATCTTAGGAGGAGGCAGCTACAGATGAAAGTGATGGACAGGAGAACTCGGATCTCTCTCCAACAATTCTTAGACCGTCCTGGCTTCTCTGGGAGCTTCCTGACATGATACTGGCAGCCGGGACAGCCTAAGAGAATCTGAATTCCTGGAAAGAGAGTTTTGCTGAAACTTACATAGATGGTCCATTGGGACTCGACTTTCAATTGCAATAATCTTTGCTTTTCTCTCCCCCCCCCCCTCAAGTTTGAGCAGGAAAACCAACGCCTTGTGGGTGAAATGAACAGCCTGTTTGATGAAGTGAGGTACATTTTTTTCTCCTTTCCATTGGCTTTTTTTCACATTTTGATCAAGGTTCTCAGCCCACATCAGCTGCTTGAGGAGGAGAGGCCGCCTGGGCAGCAGGGTGGGGATAGGTGCTCATCCCAGTGGGGTGACTGAAGATGGGGGGCTCTCAGCGGGGCTGGTGCTTTCTACGAATTCTGTGCTCTGGTCCAGCCTGTAGTTTTTGCAACCTATTAGATTTCCCAACTCCAACAGGAGCCATCTCTGGCTAATGCTGTTTTCTATTGCACAGATAATAGGCATCCAATTTTTCTGTCTAGCAGTCTGCATTTTTACACACCTAGAACCTACACCTAATTATATAAATTGCATTTTTCCAATGTTTCAGTAAACAACTGATCTGCTTTGTATTAAGCATCTTATTGAAAATCTGCTTTGTCCAATAAGGCTTCATTATCTTAAGAATGTAAGATATTCTATTTATTTCATTCTGTAAAAACAGGAAATGCTTATTCTTAACTGTTTAAATATAACTAAGTCTTTTTGCTTTCCTCTGTTATATTTTGATCATTTTTAGGCAGATTGAAGGGAAAGTAGTTGAAATATCTAGACTTCAAGAAATATTTACAGAAAAAGTATTACAACAGGTAAGAAGAATCTCACACTTGACTATTTCACATTTGGGGCTCTAAGAAAATTCATGGCACCACCCTGTAGGATATAGAGGCAAAGTGTCTGTGAGGACGGAGCAAAATACGAATTAATTATAATAGAGTGGGGACAGTTACCAAAAGAGTTTGTTTCAGAAGTATATTCCAGGAGAGAACCTTACGGGGGGGGGGAATGAAGAAGTGCACTGGGGCTGTGAAGATGCCGCCGAGTTCCCCGGTAATCCTTCCAGTTCCCAGGGCGGCCTATGTCCTTGGGATGGCCTTGTGTGGTCTCCCATCCAAGTCCTGTCGGCCTGAAAAGTCACGTTTACCTTTTCCCAGAAGGGTTCAGCCAAGGTCATCTAGCCGCTGCCCTTTGCAGAGTCACCAAATGCGTGTTAACTTAATTTCTAGGAAGCTGAAATTGACAGTATCCACCATATAGTTGTGGGTGCGACGGAGAACATCAAGGAAGGCAACGAAGACATCAGAGAGGTAATCTTGGCCAAGGTTTTCCTGCTTTTTATTATTCTCGACTGGCCCGTGGAAAGTTGCCCTCCAGGAGCCTCTCTTCCATTCTGAAGGGAGAGAGCCTTGATTCTGGTTACATAGGTTCTGTGTGGTGCGAGGATGTGCGCATTCATTCATTCATTCAAGAGAGTTATATTGGCTGCCTACCTTCTAAAACTCTGGGCAGCTTAATCTTGTCCAAAGTGGACTGTGGGCAGATTTTGGGCAGCTGTGGGCCAACCACTCTCCTTAAGCAGGAAAGATGGGAGACTGGGCAAAAGCTCTCCAGTGCTGTGGGGGTCCAGGATGGCGTCTTGGAGGGGGGCAGCGCTCCACCGCCTCCAGTCAGCTATGCTTATGGGTGTGGGTGTCCCCCCCCCCACATACACAGAACGCAGGCCGAGACCCTCTGCACCAGAGACGGCTCCTAACCCCTCAAGCACCGTTCTTTGCTCAGAGCGTCCTGCACACTTTGTGAGCAAGGACTGATGGACAACTGACCAGATGCTCCCCCTTTGTCCTTACTTCAGCTAAACTGGTGGCATGAAGCAGAAGAAAAGGGGGGTTGGGCATCCATTGAAAACCTTAGTGAACATGTCGGCCGTACTTTCACTGGCCTTTCCGTATTCCGCTCTTCAGAGGTTTCCCTGTGGAACAAAAGATCTGAAGGCAAAACTATGTCGGAGGCATAAACTGGAAAGAGTTTTGCGCATTCCTGAACTGCCCACCACAATTCACATCTTTGAAACGGGGGTTTTTGTTCTCCGCAGGCAATCAAGAACAACGCTGGATTCCGCGTGTGGATCCTTTTCTTCCTGGTCATGTGCTCCTTCTCCCTGCTCTTCCTGGACTGGTATGGAAGCTGATCCTGGCCAATAAAGGAACCACCTCGCCAGGTGACCCTGCGGGGTTCACGGACCACGGCTGTGGAAACACACATGTAGCGTCCGTGTGTGTGTGTGTGTGTGTGTGTATGTGCCTGTGCAAACTCTTTAACACTCAGGAACCTCCCAGAGGTCGTAGGGAGCCTTAGGCGGCAGAAGGAAACTGGGCGGCTGCCAGGAAATGCTCAAGAAAAGTGTTGACAGGTAGAGGATCACAGCAGTGGGAAGTTGCCAAACATTTGTATGTGATGAAATGCCCAGCAGCTGTTTCTCCTTCAGGGGTGGGGCAGGGGGCAGCGCTTGCCAGCGTGAAGGATGCCCACTGGTCTTCCCTGTTGGCGGAAGTGGGGGGGGGAGGGAGACCCCAAGCCCCCGAAAAAGTCTCCTTATGGAGAGGGGCTACTTGGCTCTTTCCAGAAACTCTACACTCCACCTCCCTCACCTCATTTTGTCTTCCCTTTCAAAGCCCCCATTGGCCCCTTGAGCTTTGGGGACACCAAGACTTTGGGGGGGGTCTGTGGAAGTGAAACACCCCCCCACCCCCCGGGATTCTTGCTGAGACATAGTCATGTAAATAATCATTATTAGAAAGGTGTTTTAGAAGAGGTTTTTATTGCAAGTAGGGTGATTGGAATCCTTCATTTCTTTTCCTCTTCGCCGCTGCAAACATCTATTTAAACATACGGAGTTTGAGACTGGAGCATACTATTTTATTTTACACAGAGTGAAAATGTCAAAAGTTACATGTGAATTCGGTGAAAGTACTGACTACTAGGGAATAGAAACATGGTGCTGTGTGTACAAGAGAGAACTCCTTAATGCAAATGAAAGATTTGGCACATAAGTTATTGCTTTTTATGTATTCCACGCAGCAGCGATTACATACCAAAAATTGTACAATATGTAACTATATTTAATAATAAAATTTCCAACAAAACCATAAATGGCGTTTTCCAAATAGATCAATGCAAAAAAAAAAAAAAAGGTCTGGAAGGAAATATAACCCAGAACCATGTTTGTTTTTGTAGAAGTATAGGGGGGGAAAAAAGACGTGGATTTTAAAGTGTGTTTCTGTAAAATTAATGAAACTTTTGACATTCCACTGGGAAACAACACATTCAGAAGAACAAAAATGACAGCAGTTTTGTGAGCTACAACCTGCAATTGAGAAGAGCATCCGAGTCAGCGCCAGAGTCTGACGGGGGGGCTTCCTAGGGGCAGGGCATTTCCAACCATCTCCTATCCTAGGAAAGATTCACAGATTAAAATGTGCTGCTGCTGTCCTATCCCTACAGGGATTGGCGGTGGAGAAGGAGGTCAGGTTTACGGCTGTAGGGGCTCCAGTGGCCAAACTCTCTGGGGGAGGAGCATCGGAAGGTCTTAATTTCCATCGTGTAGGAGGAGCCTGTCGGACAGTAAGCGTGTACTTGGCCCTGTGAGCTTACGTCCAGACAGTAGTCTTGCCCTCTTCCCCCTCCCTCCCTCCCTCCCTCCCAGGTGCCTTTGAATGGCCTGGATGTTGCCGTCCTTGGAGGCCCTCAATTCCGCAGCCGGCTGACATCAAAATCCCACTGAGCTCAAGGGAACCGATGTCTCTTCCCAGCGATTCCCTGGCAGGGAAGGGCCAGGAAAGGCCAAAAGAAGGCTGCCAGCAAAGGGCATTTCACAACGTTGAGGTTTCCAAAAAAGGCCGTTCTAATGAAATACGTCCTTTCTAGTTACGCAGATTGTATGGGGGACTGAAGAGTTTCTGTCTTGTTTATCTGCCCCTCAGAATATGTTGTCCTTTTTAATTAAAACTCCTAATCTCTCATTAAAAGAGGTACGGCTCTTGAATGCCTAATTTCTATTTTGTTTGCACAAGAGCCTTTCATGTAGTGGGAAGGGTGAAGTTCATGCCATAACGGAAGCAATTAAGCCTAAAGGTCGTAATGGATGGAGTGAGCAAAATCAGAAGCCGGTTTTATTTCTAGGTCTTCATTTTGGAGCTGCAAGCCAGGCCCGTGAATGTTGGGATTTCAGAGCCGGTTTAAAGGGAAACAAAACACGAGGACACACGGTAAGAAGCACGTCATCCCACACACCCCACAAGCCCTGCCCCAATGGAACTCTGTCAGATGTCTAAATTACAAGAATGCGCCTACTACGTTCGATGCCACGGAAGGAGAAACTGGTGCTGGAGCTCTGAAGCAATGCTGATGTGCCCGGGGCCATTAAGAGCCCCGTTTTCTTTTTCCTTGCTCCGTTTTGCAAAGCAGTTGGCAGCAACCAAAGCAATTACACAATAAATTATGAGCAACCTCTAAGTGATCCTAACAATGAGACATTCCATGAAAACCACCTCCGGACCCTTCCCCACCGGACTCCCCCTCCTCCCCCCCCTCCCCCTAAACAGGTTTCTCGGCTGCCTCCGTCTCCTGCTCGGAAAGTTTCTCTTCCGAAAGCACCGTCATCCATGGAGAAACTGACCGGGTGATGGTCTGCTTGGCCAGGTTGTAGTGGTTGATCACCGTGTAGAACTTTCCTCGAGCGCTAGAGTCTTGCTCAGAGTAGTAGCTCTCTAATCCAGCTGGAATGCATTGATTGTTCTGAAAGACACACACACACGCACACACACACTGAAAACCAGAGAGAGAGCAAGGTGGCCCTGTGTGTGTGTGTGTGTGTCTCTCCCCCAAAGTATCAGCAAAAGAGAAAGCGCTGGGCAGCGTCTTGGGCCCTTTGCATACCTTTCTTCCTCCCCCCTCCCTCCCTCCCTCTCTCCCTCCCTCTCTCTCTCTCTCTCTCTCTCAGAAGGAAGAAGCCTCTGTTTGAGGGTGGGGGGGTCAGGGGCCAAAATGACTTGTTACAATAAAAAACAAGACGGGGGGGGCACAGAAAATACGGATCACAGGAACGAGTCTTCATGCCTGGCTCTTCTCCCCCCACCTCTACGCCTCAACACAGGCAAAATGCCCCCCCCCACGCCCTCCTTTGTACGCCCTCCTTCCGTGACTGACCCCCCCGGAGACCTCGCTGGCTAAGACCCCCCTCTGGCTTCCCCCCCCCCTTACCTTGAAGACGAAACCTTCTGGGCAGGCCTGGTCGTACTTGTAGACCTTGTAGACCACCAGGAACCCGACGCAGGCGAGGAAGGCCAGGGCAAACAGGATCAGGGCGGTCGCCTGCAAACAGATTTGCCGCTTCTGTTAAGCACACGCTGCTCCGAAACGCTTCTGAGCAGACCGGAGGGCCGTCCTTGACGTCTCGCTTGGAGCTTCCCTACCTGACCTGGCAGTTTCCACGGGGAAGAAGAAGAAGGAGACTCCCCCCATCGGGAGTCTGGCCAGATGCTGAGGACAAGGCCACCAAGGGGATCCGCTGGAAGCAAGGAGGGCAGCGCCCCACAGTGACGGCCAGGAGTTGCTGTCCGTTGGAAGCAGTTCTCCAGCCACGCGATGCCTTTCCCTGTCTTGGCTCTAATGGTAGTTCCAGCCTTTACAGCCGGGGGCTGGGCCTGCACGATCCTGGACTGGTGCAAACCACTCCTTTCTCCGCTGCCACCTTGTCCGTCTGCCCAGACCGAGAGCACCCTGGGTGTCCGGCTGTTGGCCCTGCACTGCCCCTTACAACCCGTGGATTGGGCTGGGTTCTGCGGACCCTCTGCTCGGCTGGGCATTTGGCCTGCCTGCCGAACCACCATCGCATTGTTAAATCCACCTGCTGCCAGCTGCCCAGAGTTTCTCCGGATAGTGAGATGGGCAGCATATAAATTTAATAAATAGGTTTACTACTGTGTGACGGCTCAGTGGAGAACAGAGCACTCTGCTGTTCCTGCACATTATCAAGAAAGTCCCTCGGCTGGACAGTAGAAAGCAACTGACCATACAGGGCTAGATGATGTGGCCGTTGGGTTGGGTGCTACTCATGATGTTCCTGAGCAAGACGGGAGGAACTTCCAACGCACCCGTGAGTTTCAGTGAAGTGCTAAGAGGAGGATCACAGTGACATCTGCAAAGACATCAACCTTGAGAACAAACAAAAAAAGGAAGGGGAACCTTCCAGAGCTTTTCCACTCAGAAGGGGCCAGCCTCAATTTGGTGTGCTGAAGAGACAGGCAGGCAACTGATTTCAAGAAGATCAGAGAGAGGATTAAGCTGAAATGGCCTGCAATGAAGGTGTCTGATTCCAAGGTATCTTAAAAAATATTTACTAATTATAAAGACTCCTGGTAGTAGAGCATGAAGGCAGGTCAACGTCCCCATTATCAGCCCAGAAGGCTGGAAAAACTGCTGAAATATCTATGAGAATACGGTAAGCAACATTTAACATTTAAAATACAAAACCAGAATAAGCCAATCAATGAAAAAGCACTGAGAAATGTTCTATCCAGAGGATGCCGTGAATCTGGAGCATAACTCAGCAGTGAAGCAACTGTCAGAAGTTGGCCTGTCTGCCTTGTTGGAAAAAAACCCCCGAGAAGAACATGGACAGCCACGAAAACAAACCGATGGATCATCAAACAAATCGGCCCAGAGTTCTTCTTTCCCGAGGCTCAAAATTATCCTACTTTGGACACATTCTGGGAAGACCCAGCGCTCTGGAGAAGGCGGTGCTCCTGCTGCTGGGAAAGACGGAAGGGCTGCAGAGCATCCAGTCAACTCAGCTGGAGGGTCCCGTGCCGGTTTGGCACCCTTCCCTGTTGGCCTTGGAAAACCCCAGGCACCCATACAGCTGTTGGGACATGGCAGCTGTTTAATTGTTCCTCTTACATATGGCAGACTGGCAGACTTTGGAAGACTTCCCTCCAAGGCTACCCACATGTTGACTGGCATTTCTGGGTGTAACAAGGGGGGGGGGCTTGCGGGAGAGAGTTTCACGGCGAAAGCCTTCTGTTTGCTGAAGAGCCCATCCTTTTCCCTCTTCCCCTCTGGCACCGCGAACCGACACCACCCAGAGGCCTCCGCTGCCTCCCGAGGCCTCTCCAGGGCCCCCGTTGCGTAGCGGCAGCCCTCAACAACCCAAGCCTGAAAATAATCCCCGAGCGATTCAAGCAAAGGAAATGGAGGCTTGTTTGTCTCCGGACTTCTAGTCTACACAGAGCAAGGCCCGATCGTCTCTGGGTTTTGTATTGCATGGTAAGTGGAAATATGCAGTGAGGTTTTCTGTTTTTCACAGGAGAACTGAGAAATCTTTAATCTATAATTGTCACCCGCTATTTGGCACAGGAAAAGTATTCATGGTCTCGGCATGCCAGTAAGAAGCAGAAACCAGTAAAACGAAGTTCATAACTAGACCCATGTTTGTTTGCTCGTTTGTGTCTTAATTCGGGCATTTGGCTAGCCCACATTTTGAATTCCCCAGCTTTTAACCAGCCAACTTTTGCCCCTGTGCTGGGTGACTCTTCCCCCTCCCTGACTCAGCCCAGAATCCCCGGAGCTTTCCCGAGGGAACTCCGTGGATTTGCCTCTGCCGCCTGGGAGCTTCACTGGAAGTCTGTGTTGATTCCTTCAACTACATCTTCCCAACAAGCGTTAAGAAGCTTGTGGTGCAGTCCATACAAACTGTTTCCATACAAATACAGTTCTAACAGGTTCCCATCACTTTCACAGGGGTGTTGGGGGTGTGTGATATGTTAAACTTCAGCCCCTTAAGGCTTAAAGGATTCTGCAAGGAAGTACTGCATATCTTTAATTAACTTCCTGTGGCAATTATTGAATATAATATCTGCTAGAATTTTGAAGCGAGATAAATGTAACATTCATTTTTTCATGCTTAAAAACGAGCTGATGTGGCTTACCTTAAAACGTTCTGAGATGCCTTGAGTGATACTGACTGTGAATTCTGCAATTCGGGGAGAACGAAATTTCCCTTTCTTTCGATCGGGTTCATATTCTGTTCTTGTCTTCACCACCACCTTTTTCAATGAACACCAACAAAGGAGCCGTTACCAGCACATTCCTGCCTCACCACAACTGCCTCTGCCTGCTTCTTTGGGTGGCGGTTTGCACGCAGCTTTTGGTCATGAGCCTCAGAATAAAGAAGTTGGAAGTGACAATCCTCCCCTATGCCATGGCCCAGGAAAGAGGTCTGTCCATAGAGCGCACAAAGGACCCCCCCCCCGCCCCCAGTTTGGTTTATTTTGTCCTTTCAAGCACACAAAACATAAACTTTGGGATTTAAATCATTCCCTGGGATTTTCTCCCTGGGGTGCAAGATGCAGACTCTGCCAGGAAATGCTTTTCCATGAAAGAAGACTGGAAAGGGCATTTTAAGGAGATTGGGTCCAACCGTCTTATTTTCTAATCAGCTTTGGATTTATAATTATTTTATAAATTAATATGTGGTCTTTAAACAAATGCTTGTAAAGTGAGGACTACTTTAAAAGCCTAATTAAAAAGGAGGTAGGCATTTCCTGTATCCCACTGGGCAAATTGGCACCACATAAACTGGTCCTTGGCTGATCCTGATCCAAGGTGCCCTCAGGTGCCATTCCAATGTTCAGGCTGGGATCAGTTGTAAATGGCCTTCAGAGCAGTAAAACATGCACCCTTTGGAGATGTACGTCTAGTAAAAGACAGACCCTTTTGTTAGAAAAGGCTGAACAAAAATGGGATAGAGAATAACAGCAGCAGCATTAACTGAAGAAATGACTCTAGATATGACGGGTTAAAACAGGAGTGTGCACGCTTCTTCAACTGACGGTCATACTTAACCTCTTAGGGCCAAGTTGCGGTCTTCTGAGCAGCGAAATGGGGCGAAAGAAAGAACAACGTGAGGCCAATTCAGTTAGAATTCAATCTTAATGGAGCTGGAAGGGATCCTGAAGGTCTTCTAGTGCAACCCCTTGCTCGAGCAGGAGACCCTATAAACATTTCAGGCAAGTGGCTGTGCAGTCTCTCCTTAAAAGCCTCCAGTGATGGAGCACCCACGACTTTTGAAGGCAACTTCTGTTGCACTGGTTAATTGTCCTCACTGTCGGGAAATTTCTCCTTAGTTCCAGCTTGATTCTCTCCCTGATTAGTTTCCATCCATTGTTTCTTGTCCTGCCTTCAGGGGCTTTGGAAAATAAGTTGAACCCCTCTTTGTGAACAGCCCCTCAATTACTGGAAAACTGCTATCATGTCCCGTCCCCCACCCCCAGTCCTTTTTTCCTCTAAATTGGCCATATCCAAATCCTGCAGCCATTCTTCATAGTCTCCAACCAAGTTTAACCATCTTAGTTGCTCTTCTCTGCACTTTTTCCAAAGTCTCGACTCTTTTTTGTAATGTGGTGACCAAAACTGGATGCAGGATTCCAGGTGTGGAACCTTACTAAAGGCTTTATAAAGCGGTACTAATGCTTCTTCACGTGATTTTGATTCTATGCCTCTGTTTATACAGCCAAGGATCGTGTTAGCTTTTTTGGCTGCTGCTACGCATGGCTGGCTCATGTTTAAGGGATCGTCCACCAGCACTCCAAGATCTCCCTCGCGGTTGCTGTTTTTGAGCCAGGTATCATCTAATCTGCATTTGTACTTTGATTTTTCCTGCCTAGGTTTAAAACCACCTTGCCTTCCTCTACATTAAATTTCATGTTGTTGAATAGGGCCCATTGTTCTCAACAAAGATCTTTCTGGATCCCGAGCTCTTCTTGTGGGTTGTTGGCTATTCCTGGCAGCTTAGTGTCATTTGCAAATTTAACGATGCTAAGCTAGCAGAATAATCAATACTCCAGAAGATAAAACTATGTTTATTTAATTTAAACCCTATTCATATAATGTCACATTATATGAACATTATAGTCTGAAAACAATAACGGGCTTCTTTAGACATGTTTAACAACATGGGAAGAGAAAATAATCAGTTAATGAAAATGATAAATGCTTTTGGTTCAGTCTTCTCTAACAGTCTTCCCCACCCGAATGATGAATGAATGTGGTGTACTATTTTACTCTTATGTATTGTTTTGCGTTTATTGTCTTGTACCCTCCCTTCCCTATTTTATGTAAGCCGCCCTGAGTCCCCTCAGGGAAAAGGGCGGCCTATAAATATTAATAAAATCAAAATCAAAATCAAATCAAACATAAGCTGAAAGTTTTACAAGGCAAATGCAAAATCTAGAATGAATCTCGAGACTGACAGAAACTTGTTGGCATGGCTATTTACAAGTGATCAGCTTTAAAACACCAGTCCAATAAACTGCATCTCAGAATACTGAAGGAACTAGCTAAAAATCTTACCAAACATTTGTATCTTATTTTCAAGAAACATTGGAGAAACAATTAAATGCTAGGTAGTTGGAGGAAATAAACATCCTTATTTTTAGAATTAGAAAATAGTAGGTTTCAGGGAATCTGATATTAATAGGAGGGGTATAAAACGAATCATAAACTGTTAACAACTTAAAAACAATGCTGTAATTACTAGAGGTCAACAATGTATGACTTTCCTAGTAGGTTGTAGGAACGTGTGTGTGCGTGCACACACAGGCAATTTGAGCAGATCATTGGCCAAAGTGCTCCATGACATTCTGGTCTGGTGGCATATGTGGCCGATTTGGAAATTGCCCTCATCAATTCTTCCTTCCAGATTGGACTGAGGAGCTTCAATCCTGGACCTCATGTTCCTCAATATTTTTATGAATGACTTGAAGCCAGACGCTTCCGAAAACTGCAGATGAATTTCTCAACAATGAATTCAGGAGTAGAACTAGGACCTTCCCAAACTAAAAACCTTTTTGGCTCCGGTGCTTTTACTTGGTACTTTTAAGAAAGAGTTGGACTCTAGGTTCTAAGTGCCTCTTTGAGCACCCCAATTTTAGGGTCCTAAGAAATGAAGAAATAAATGAGCTTATTGTATAGATGCCGGATATTCTTGACAGAGGGTTGTCGATTTAATTACTTGGTAGTTTTCAGATCTGAAAGGGAAGAGGGCACTTCTGCGAAAACCTTACTACTCATTTAAGCTCATTAAAGTTCATAGGAGACAAAGCATCTGTCTGTATCCAGATAATTCCTACCACCCTGTTTATTTCACGGAGAAATGGGCGGAGATCGAGATCGTCTTTCTCTCCCCCCCCCCCAATCCTCCTGCAACAGAAGCATCCAAGGGCGTCGGGTACCAGCGGAGTAGTAAGCCAGGGATACGGGGAGGCCACACCCAGGGAGGAACAAAGCCTCGTCGCCAGGCGCGAACAAAGAGCCGCCGTCTCCCCTTCCAGCAGCCCTTCGCCACCATTTCAACCCCCAAATTTGCAGGTTTCCTTTGCGAGCCGATTCAAAGGGCCCATCGCCAATTCTGAATTTCCTCCCCAACAGCCTTGATTTTAAATTATAATTGTTCTTTCAACCATGTAATACAAAAAGGAGCTGGCTGACATATATATATATATGTTTGAAGCGAAGCCTGCTTCGCACTGAGCATCCTCCCAAAAAGTCACCGCAGGGAAATTCTTCCAGGGGAAGGAAGAAAGGAGGGGAAGGGAGGAATCTGGCTTTGCCGTTATGGGTGCGGGTTTCCCTGTGAAGGGCGCTGGGCCGAGGGTGGACGGAATCTACCCCCGCGGTTCCCCAGGAAGAAGCGCGCCGCCGCCGCCGCCTCCCACCGGAGATGCCCTGTCTGGGTTCCAAGGAAGGAGCCCCTGGGCCGCCCTGGAGAGGCGCAAGCGACGCGGGGCGAGCGGGGTCCGGCAGGCGAGCCGAAGCCCTTGGCGGCGGGGAGTCCCCCGCCCCCCCCCCCCCCCCGAGCCCCGCGAGGGGCAGCCCGGACGGAGGCTTCCCGCTCGCTACCTTGTCCGGCGCGGGGAACTGGAGCTGCCCGACGTCCAGCGGGGTGATGAGCGGGATGGTGTCGAAGCCGTCCTCCGCCGGGGCCGCCTTGCTGCGCTTCTCGCCCGAAGGGCCGCCCAGCTTCACCATCCTTCCCTCGCCAACAAGAGGAGCCTGCAAAAGGCCGCCGTTAGCCCAGCCCAGCCCCAGCCCCAGCTCCGGCCCCCGTCCGGCCTACCCACCCCTACCTGCTCGGCCCCCGCCTCGTCCGCCGCTGCCGCGCCGGCTTCTCGCCCGCTCCTCCGCCTGACCAGCCCAGCGCCTCCCCTTCCGCACGGACGGCGGCGGCGGCAGCAGCAGCAACAGAGGCTCCGGAGTGACGCAGCCGCGCGTGGCGCTCGCCTCCCCCGCCCTGCCGGCAGCGCCACCCTCGCCGGGGCTGCGGCAGGGCGCGGGGCGGGCGGAGGATGGAGCAGTCGCTCACCTGTCTCGGCCGACGCACCTGCTGGGTCTCGCTCGACAGCCCGGCCCTGCTCAGTCCCTGCGTCCGGCTCTCCTGGCCTTTGGGCGGCCACCCGGGAGAAGCGACGCCCCGGCAATACCTGCCGACACACCCACCGCGGCCTCTCGAGCCCCCCCTCCCCCAGCCGCTGCCCAGCCGCCTCCCTCCCTTCCCCCGGCAGCTGGTCGGCCCCTCTCTCATTGTGACATAGCAAACCCCCCCCCCCCTGCCCTAAGTGGCCTCTGGTGGTCAGAGGACCCAAAGGGAAGGAAATGGACCAAACTGGACCAAACTTCCCTCACCTCCTTTGGAAGAAGTTAATAGCAACCCAACATATCCCCAGCCCTATTGTGTCAGCATTGCTGGTTTGTGGTGTTTTAAGCCCTCCCTCATGATGGAAAAGGGGTTCTGCAGGTAAATTCAGAGATGACTGTGGCAGCCTATAGGTGAATAATGAATTCTAAAAAGAAATAGAAGTCTCTAGGCAACAATTCAGTCAAGTACAACTTTGATATGGTTTTATTTACTTACAAGCAGGCACGCTGCTCTTCAGGAGGCCTCACTGGCCGGGCTCGCTCTCGTTCTGCAAAGTCTTCATGGTTAGGGTCACCAGAGGGTCATGCTAGAGAAGGCCCCGCGTTGGTTCGGGGCTTGGCAGGAGCCACGCACTTGCAGAGGAGCAGAGGAGCGAACTCCGGGAAGAGGGCCAGACTGCAGCGGCCCCTCCTCAGAGGAGACATGGCTTCCTTTAAAAGTGCAAGACGGAATCGGAGCTTCTGGGGATTTACAGGCTTTGGCAGGATCCAAACTCGGTTCCTGAGCGTCTTTTCCCACCCCAGGCCTTGCCCTGCCAAACGGTGCTCCCGGGGGCCCAAACTCATTTGGCGATTCCCCCGAGTGGGGTGGGCGTTTCTCTGATGGCGACAGGAAGGACGCTGAGATTTCCTGGGTAAAGAAATCTGAGCATTGGGACTTCTCGAGGTCAGGAATTTCCATTGCGTGAGAAAACTCCTCTGCAATAGCTGCACTTTCACAGTCAGCTTTACAGTGGGTTTTTTTGTGTCGACGTAGGACAGCAGAACGGCTGAAACATTTATTGCAGGTCTCACAGGGATACGGCTTTTCCCCAGTATGCGTTCTTATATGTCTTCGCAAATCTCCAGATCCCGCAAAACATTTTCCTGTAAAATAAAATACTTATTGTGCTTTCAGCAAAGCTCAGTGTTTTAGTTCTAAAATTACTAGGTCTTAGTTAATGCAGTTTGTTGTTATGTGAGCCTATGCATCAAAAGCGAGTTCTCAACTAGCCCAGTGGGCAGATCATATTCAGTAGCTTAAAACTGCAAGGAAGGCTACCTGTCGGGAGGGGCTGCCTGACCGTGCAAGCTATCAGCCGGCGGAAGGTGTGGAGAGTTCTTTGAAGAGAAGCTGGGAGGGTCTCTGCTGGAGAATCCCTAGTGGTTCCTTCCTGGCTGGGCTTAAAACAAGGCAACCTTTAAGAGTCCTTCCCACTCTCGCATCTGTGCTTCTACCACAACTTCCCTCGTTATGAGCCAGGGGAAAGCAAATGACACTAGTCCAACTAAGAGACAAAGACACGACGACAAGTTTTAGTGAAACCTGCAAAACTGCCAGATAAAGGTGTTACACTGGAGACATTTCAAAGGATTTTTGAAGAAATGGGAAAGAAGCTTGAAGATACAACATCTGCTACTGAAAAAGCGCTATTTAAGAGAGACTTTAAAGAACTGAAAGATGCAAAGGAGAAGATTTTAGAATAATTTATAGGCTGATAGGATAAAGAAGTAAAAACAAATCCCAGCTTATGCAGAAATACTGGAAAATGAAATAGTGCTATAAAATAAAATAGCTATAAGACAGATGTGAAAATTAAACTGGAAATCCAGACAGTAACAATGAGTCACTTGGATTTATAAAAGAGGGCTAGAAAGCCACAAGGAATGGGAGAAAGAAAATTTGTGTGCAAATTAAATCCTACAAAAGCATCTTATCAGGGAAAGATTAAGAACGTTAAGAGCAAAAGAAAGGAATATAAATTTGATCTGTTGGATCAGGGTTTTTACAAAGTTCTGGCAACTTTGACTGTTTGCTGATACTAAACAGAAATGGTAATGAATTTTAGATTTGCGGAAGGTCCCAAAGGTTCTTTTTTCAAGAGGCAACTGGACTTTCTGGGTTTTTTTTTTTTTTTGAAGACGTTTCATTTTTCATCCAAGCAGCTTCTTCAACCCAGATGGGTAAGGACTGAGATATAGGAAGAAGGGATTCAGGAGAGGTAATATTCAAGAGGGCTGAAAAATATACAGCTTGTACTAATAAAAGAAGATTGGAAGATTTACTTCTGGAGATATTTTCTTTTTTCCATACTTTCTCTTTGATTTCAGTTTTTCTATTTTTTACTTTCACTTTTACTATTATTAAAATAGTAAAATCTTTACTTATACTATTTATAATCTTTTATAATACTATTTTGAAATGCAATTTTATTGGATCTTTACGAATGCCTATGGTTTCCAGTTGAGAGACGTAATTCTTGAAGTCTACATGATAACTATAACATATTGCTGTCAATTCTTCATTTGTTAAGGAGGGGAAATAATTTGCCATTCATTTGTTTGAGTGATCAACACTGTATCTGCTGAATTTTCATTATTTTCATATGTCCTCTAAGGATACAAATGAACAATGAAAAGGTTAGCATTTTTAGTGGAACTTTCCAAACCAGATCAGTAAAACTACCTTCTGACTTACCACAAACTGAACAATTATATGGCTTTTCTCCTGTGTGTCTGATCCTGTGTTTTACTAATTTCCGTGGTAAGTTAAAGGATTTCCCACACTCATCACACGTGAATACTTTTTCTGCTGCATGGTTCTTCTTGTGTTCCTTTAAATTACTGAAGTTACTAAAGCCTAAAGGAAAGAGAATTTGAGTCAGAATGATCAGTCATTCCCATTTATTTCACAGGGTGAAATAAATTTTAAAAGAGCTCCATGCCCACCCCAGACACCAGAGCCAAGGCCAAAGGCAGGCCCTGAGCATGAAGCCTCCTGCCATTAACTCTTGACCTACCAGGGGAGAGTCAGAGTGCACCAGAGCGTAACCAGAGGTGCCCTTGGGCGGCTGCTCTTTCTGCTACTGGAACTCCAGCTGGACGATGCCAGCACCCACACGTGGTCTAGTGGGGAAGGTGCACATGCTGGGATTACAGCTTGCTTTGCTCGCCCAGGGAAGTTCAACCAGACCTACCTCGACCACAAATATCACATAGATGTGGTTTTTCTCCAGAGTGAATAATAATGTGGCGCTGGACATCTCCAGAGGCAGCAAACCTGCAACACCATCATCAAAGCCACTGTGAATGCTCCAATAAGCACTTTCTGCACCATCCTGCCTTGACCGCATCATGTTCCTGGCAGGCCGGCTGGCCTCCCTCTGAAGGAAGCAGCCCACCTCCCCATCCCTCCCTGGCACCCTCTGCCGGGTTCCAGGCATCACCAAGACTCCCAGGAACTCCAGCCACTAAAAGGCCACCGAGGGCTGTGCCACCCCCTCCCCCCCTTCTGAACCCAGCTGCAGAGTCACATGTACCAATCAGGCCTGTTTGCTGCTCTACTAGAAAATTATAATGAAACATTTTGAAAGGCAAGACGGCTGCAAAAGCAAAAGGCAATCTAACGCCTTATGGTGAAAAATAGTCCTTTTTGTAAAAGCTGAGGAATGTGTTTCACATCCAAATAAAATGTTTACCTACATTTATATCAAATATATATATATATATTTATCTCTAGTTTTGTACTCAACATGAAAGTTAAGCTAGCTGGACAGCAGCTTCTTGTGAGGAAAGGGCTAAAAATAAAAAAAGGAAAAATAACGAACCCTGCTAGGTTGTATCAGAATTGCTGATGGTTCACAATTTGAAAAATTTAAATTCGTAATTGATTAAGAACAGACGGAACAAATGATGTAGGACTCTTCAATCAACAGATAGCTTTAGAAGCAAAAGCTGTCTGCTCTGGGATAAGCCTTATTTTAGGAGAGAAGCATGTCGAAAACTATTCCAGCTCAGGCCTCACCTTGCATTGTCCCACTTTGTGCAGCTGTTCTGGCCACGGCTGCATTTGCTGTTGTGTTTCTAATGTGGTGCTGATACACATCTACCCCTAACCACCCTTCAAGAATGGGAGCATTTTCATGCTGGCCAAGATACGTATCTCCAGTTGTCCAATATACTGATTGCTGGCACTCCTCCTCTTCCTTTGCCTTGTGTTTTGGTTTCTTTAAATCATAGTTTGTTATAAGAATAAATATAATCTTTATTGTCACTGTACTTAAATACAACGAAATTGGAAATTATAACTAGATACTTATGGTTTGTGCAATCCTTCTAAAATTGAAAAAAGGATCCTATTTTGTATTCTTGCATTCTCAAATCTAGTTGGAAGAAATCTAAGAGCCCCAGAACCTTTCCATTTAGGTATTATTAGCTAACAGATCTTCTGGGATGTGTTGTCTTGGAGGACAGTGAATAGTATATCTCTACAAATACGACTAATAGGTATAAATGCATGTAATATGTATGAATGTCACAGACATACAAACCTCTTCCCACAGATTTCACAAATGAATGGTTTTTCACCAGAATGGCGACGCAGGTGAGTCTGAAGATTGCCTGCCTACAAAGATAAGGAAATGTTTTTAATAAAAGGATGTTAATCAGAGAATTTTACACTTGGAAATGAAGATCTTCAAGTAGTTCCTTATGCCAATAATGGCACACAGAAGTAAGAGCAATCCCCACCCCCCCGTGTTCCATTGCCCTATCAGGGAGGGCAAACAGGGAGGTGGATTCTTTAGGCACAAGTAGAGAATTCAACGCTTTATCAGACCTGGACTACAAAGACTTCACTCCCATCAGCAGGTGGGTTGAGCACAAAGCCCCCCCGTCTCCCACAAGACAGGCACTTCCAAACGGAGGCCAGGTCTTTCTTCTATGGAACCAAGAGGTTTCCTCTACTGGAACTAGCCTAAACTGGGCGAGGATGATTTCAGTTGTGCAGAAGGATCCGCCACAATGTCCCGTTCGTTCCAGAGTCTACTGGGCTGTTAGGAAAGGCGGGGGGGGGGGGCAAAGTGACTTCTATCCTTTCATGGGGCGCTGGAGCAGGAACGGGCAACTCCAGAGCAAGAAGACAGCAAAGCAAGATGGCACTGGTGCTCGGCATCTAAGCCTATATTTGGGCAACAAGAACTACATACAGTTCTGCTTAAGGCAGAACAGACTTTATTTATGCTTAACTCGACATTCCCCAAAGCCAAAGGTCTGTGTGACGGCCTCCCTCCTTCTCTAGCGGACTTTCTGGCAGACTTTCAGTGAAAAATAGAGACCAATGCCACCATTCATTGCACAAGTAAGCACAACTAGAAGTTTCCATTGAGAAATTTGCAATCAAAATCAATGAGAGGACGAATGTTGCGCCCCTTTTAGGTGGCCTGCACTGGTTGCTGGTTGTCTTCTGGGTGCGATTCAAGGTACTAATTATGACCTTTAAAGCGCTCC